ATGATCATGTATACCCAATATAACTATCACCTTTTGTTTAAAACAATGAGTTAGTGATTCATTGGTATAATTAGATCCTGTATGTGTTCTCATGCTATAGCAACCTAACTTGTTTGTTCTGTTTGTTTCTCTTAATTGTGTGTTCTCTCTGTATGGTATTGTTTGATTCTCTTCATTATATGTTCTGTTATGGTATTGACTCTTTGTGTGCTTCATTGTACTAGAAGTAATGAATAACATTCTCCTAAACTATACCTATTATAGCCTACTAACGTTCTACCGGGACTGTTACTGAAAAGACTCGTTTATCTACTAAGTTATGTTTGTACTTTAAAAACAAGGTTTTGTATAACTAAAAGTAACATAACTTTAAAAGAGTTTTGAAATGTTTTGACGACTTATAAATGACATAAGTAACATTTTGAAAAATGTTTATAACAAACATTTACATAATTATCATTGTGTTCGACTTGTATCCCCCCCCCTTCAACAGTTAAAATAGTTAAAAGATTCATTACGGGGTATGAACTCACCTGATGTGGGTGATTCAAACGGGTATGTGTGTAAGGATGAGAAGTTCCACGAATGAAGTTCCGAGACACAATAAGTCATAAATGACATATAAGGACACATATTGACATGAATATAGTGTTTATAAACAACTATATGAAGAGAAACACCTTCCGGGACTAGGAAACACCTTGATTCAAGTGTTATACGTACTAAGGATTGCATCTAAGGGTGGTAGGACCTTGCATTTGAGTTTAGGGTTCAAGGGTAAACTCTTTTGGAGTTTACGATTTTGGGACCAACACTCATTGAGTTTACGGCCGTAAACTCATGGTACATTTACCATTTTGTGTTTTGAAGCTTTAAAGGTCATGAGAAGCATTCCTACTTCATGTTTAAGCCTTAGGAAGTGTTTAGGGCAACATTTCACTCCTTTGTGGAGTTTACGGTCCTTGGACCATTTCTTTTTGGGTTTACGGCCGTAAACCCAAATGGTTTATGGTCTTTTTGATGTTTTAAGTCCTAAGCACATCAAGGATGGTATCTAGACTAGTTTCCAAGGCTTGGTAAGGGACTAAGGCACACTTTGGCACCCTTTTTAGGGTTTACGGTCCAAGAACATCTTGGACCGTAAACACCTTTGATCTTGTGTTTCCTTGGTGTTTTCTAGATGATTAGAAGTGTAACAAGTCTTATAACACACTAGGGTAAGAGTACTTACTATGTAGAAGCTTGAAAATGTGCTAAAAGTCCAAGAACACTAGTGTGTGTTCTTGGTGAAACTTGAAGATCTACACTTTTGGAATGATTTCACAGATGAAATCATGTAAGATCACTAGATTAAGTAAGATATCAACTTTTTAGGGTAAGAAACACTTACATAGTTGAAGATCTAGAAGAAAAGTTGGATGATACTTGAGAGGATTTGAGTTTGGATCTTGTAAATGTGAAAAAGTGGTAAATAATGACTAAGTGTCATATTTATACCCCCTTTTAGGGTTTACGGCCGTAAACACCTTTGTTTAGGCCGTAAACTCCAAACTCTTGGAGTTTTGGGACATTATTGTTGCACAATAAACCCTAGGGCATCCTCTCTCCTGATATCTCTCGAAGTACTATTTTTAAAACACTCAAACTTATTCCAAAAAGTTTGAAAGTTAACAGGAACTGTTCCGACTTCTATTGAGTTTGATGGTTGTATAGAATAGAAATTTTAGGTTGTCATACCCCATTTAAGAATGCATTGTTGATGTCTATTTGCCGAATTCTCCAGCAGCTAGAAAGGGCAATAGAGAGAACTAGTCTGATTGTTGTAGGTTTGGTAACAGGGCTGAATTTGTCAAAGAAATCAAGCCCTGCCTCTTGACTGAAACCTTGTGCCACTAGTCGTGCCTTGTGTCTTGCAAATGTCCCATCAGAATTTTTCTTTACTCTGTAGATCCACTTACAACCAACAACATTAGAATTAATGGGACATTCAACAAGGGACCAGGTATGATTTTTCATGAGAGCCTCATACTCTGCTTTCATCACATCTTGCCAGCATTCGTGCTTAATTGCTTGAGAAAAATTAGAAGGTTTGATGGCAGAGGGGGATGAAATAACGGTATGAAACAGCTTAGGTTTAAGCGAATTTGTACGAGCCCTAGTAACCATGGGATGCTGAGTTGTATCAGAAGGCCAGAAAAAGGATGGTATGGCACGAGTTGGAGAAGAGATAGTAGAAGGAACAACGGAAGGAGAAAGAACAGCAGAAATCATCGATGCCTGGTTGGTTGGAGTGATAGGGTTTTGAGATGAGTTAGGATGTGGGCTTTGGATGATTGGGCTGTTGAGAGAAGTAGAAGGAGAATATATAGGTGGATGTGTAGATGGGTCAGTGTTAATTACAGGAGGTGGGCTTGGTATGTGAGCAACAATATTTGGCAAAGAGTCCATATTAAAAGAAGTGGGCTTAGTTTGAGTAGGCGATGAAGGCACGTATGGAAAGACATCTTCATCAAAAATTACATGTTTGGAGATGTATATTTTTGATGTTGGTGGATGATAACAGATGTACCCTTTGTGGGAAGCACTATATCCCAAAAAAATGCACGGTTTAGAACGAAAATCTATTTTGTGAGGATTATAGGGACGTAAATACGGATAGCACAAGCAGCCAACCATTTTTAAAAAAACATAATCTGGAATTTTTTTTATACAAGCGTTGGTATGGGGACTCGTAGTTTAAGATGGGGGTAATAGTTTGATTGTTTAGATAAGTGGCAGTTTTGAAAGCATGTTCCCAAAAAACATGAGGAAGAGCGGATTGTGCTAACAAGGTGAGACCTTTTTCCACAATGATTCAATTCTGTCTTTCAATGGACCCATTTTGTTCTTGTATATAAGGGCAGGAGTCTCGATGCATGATACCATGAGACTTGAGAAAGGTAGAAACATTACGATACTCTCTTCCCCAATCACTTTGTAGGCTTTTTATATCACATTAAAACTGAGTTTTGGCCATTTTGCGAAATTGTAAAAAGGTTGAGTAAACTTGCGATTTGTGGGAAAGGAAATAAACCCATATAAATTTAGAACAATCATCCATAAACAAAACAAAATATCGATTGCCATTCATTGAGAAAACTGGAGCAGCCCCCCAAACATCAGAGTAAACCAATTTAAAAGGTTTTAAAGAGGTTACATGTGAAACTGGAAGATGCAACCTATGACTTTTTCCTAATTGACAAGAGTCACAAACATTAGGAAAGTTATTAGTTGAAACAAGAAGATTAAAAAATAGAAACTAATCGACGAAGAAGTTGTTCATGTGGGTGAGCCAGCTTCTTATGCCATCCATTAAGAGAGACTCGAATGTTATTGAAAGCTTTTGGTGAAGAACGGAAACTGCGACTAATCGATATAAACCTTAATTTTTATCCCATTGGAGCAGTGTTTTTGCTCTGAAATGTCTTAACAGAACAAGATTTAGGCCAAAACTCTATGTAAACATCATTATCATCAGTTAGTTTGGACAAACTAAGAAGATTTTTAGTGAGTCCAGGAACAATTAGCACATTTGGCAATTTGAGATTAGGCAAAGAAGAAGATCCAACATGAGAAATATGTAAATTTTTACCATTGCCTACTTGAAGTTTGTCACTCCCAGTGTACACATTTGCAATGTTAAGCTTTGAGATATTAGGAGAGACATGATCAGTCGCCCCAATGTCAAAGTACCATGAAGGATCAATGACTGTCGAGGGACTCTGTTGCTGTGTCAAGTGAGCTTGACGTTAGTTATTCCTCGGGTTTGGTCTGCGTGATGGAAAGTCAGTTTGATTTCCACGATGCCAGTAGTCAATTGCCTTGTGCCCTGGTTTCATACACAACAAGTAAATGGATTTCTTCTTCCGTGAATCTATGCCTCAAGCAGAGTTGGATGATCCTGAACTGGAGCCATTGTAGGAAGAAGATGAACGGGAATTTGAGGAATTTAAGCGATTTACATTGAGTGCGATTGTTGATGTCCGAGTTACAGAAGCAAGACGGATGTGCTCTTGCTCCAATCGAGCTTCTTCCTATAACAATAAGCTAACGAGATCATCAATATTTAATACCTCTCATTTCATCATAAAAGAAACAACAAATGCTCCGTATGAGGAGTCAAGGCCGTTGAGAATATAGCCAATTAGATCTTCATCATCGACAAGATGAAGATTTTCAGCCAAAGAATCAGAAATCGATCGTTTTCGTTCTATGTACTCAATCATTGTTATTGACCCTTTTGAAAGGGTTTGAAGCTGAGTTTTGAGTTGTAAACGACAAGCCGTAGTTTGGGCTTGAAAGAGTTTTTCAAGTGTCTGTCACGCAATTCGAAAGGAGGGTGAGCAGGCAACTAGAGCAGAGGGATTGTCCGATAGTGTCGACTTGATCCACAAAAGAACATATCGATCTCTTTTTTTCCAAGCAGCATATTCTGGATTTGGTATTGTGGTAGCTGGTACAACAGCGACGGCCGGAGATGTGGCGGTGACAGGAGTTGCCGGAATAGCCGCACCATCAACAGTTTTAGTTGGTGGTTTGATTTTTAGCTTGGTCTAGAAGAATTTGAATTCGATTTGGTTTGGTTTTCAAATTGGATTAAAAAAATTTCAAACCGAAAAATCTAATTTGAAGAAACTGATGAACCCATAAACCAAACCGATTCTGACCCACCCAATCATATGAGACGAGATACATAGTAAAGAAACGTAGAATTAGTTTTTTTATTACTAGTTTAGTCAAAACGTGTTGTTCGATTGTAAAGGTTGGAAGTGGCTTTGAAAACAACAAGATTATTATTATATGATATTACTATTATTTTTGTTTTTTCTGAAGTTCGAGACAAACTTTTTATAATTTTCTACATCGTACCAGAATCCGTTACTCCTTTCGTTCTTTCTTCTCCAATGTATCCTCTTCTAACCCTAACCCTAGCCCAATATTCCAGCTCTTGATTTATTACAATGGAGCAGGAGAACACCAAATCGACCATAAACAACAACATCGAAGACGCCGATACCCAATTCTGCGAAGAATCCCTCTTTGTCGATTCCTGGGACAATTTTGAGTCCGATCACCCCCTTTTCGTCGCCAAATCTTCATCAATCTCCGACCTTAACAATATCAATGTTGCCAGTCCAATCCAATCAAAAGAAACACCATCTTCTTCAACCTCCGATGACCTTAATCACACGCAACTTGATGATTCCCATCAGAGTTTGAAAGAAATCTCCTCATTTTATTCCTTCAGTAAAACTGACAGTTTGGGAGATTTGAATTCTCATGACTCCGCTACTTCTCCCGGGAATGATTGCAAAGTTTCCTCCAGTATGAAGGATAAAGAGAAATCAAAAACTAAATTGAAATCCACTAGGTTTCGTTCGAGTTCAAGCAGTCATCTTAAGTCGTTAAACGAAGACACTACTAGTGGTTATTCTGCAATTACGAGTGTTAGTGATGATGATCAAAGAATCGACGATGATTCCATTACAGCAAATTCACCCATTTCTGGTTCGAATTTTCTTTATTCCTTAGCGGGATTAGTGATCAAAATGATAGGGTTTCAATTAAATCTGTTAGTTACTTCAGTCACGTTTCCCATATCCTTAATCTACTATTCATACTTGTTCGTTCTCGATCCCTTTAGGATCATAAGTCGTGCAAAATACTATATACTAGGAAACATCTCCAAAATCTTCAGTCTCTGTTGCAATTCCTTCAAATCGACCATCATCACGTGGATTAAAAAACACGAATCTACATGGAAGCTATGTGGTCGATTCGGGTGGGGATTCTTGTGGTCAGTTTATGTAGGATTCATTCTGATTAGTTTATTAGTTTTTGCGTTTCTTGTTTCTGGCATCACCTTGAAGTGCATAATGGAAGAACCGATTCAAATAACACAAGAGTTGCATTTTGATTACACAAAAGATAGTCCCATGGCTTATGTACCCCTAATGTCTTGCCCAGATTCCTCTTTTCTTGAATGCACTGATTTGATTAAGCCCGGGTGTAGTGATGAATCACGGATTATCCCTCTTGATCACAAAGTCCATGCTACTCTTTCTTTAACATTGCCCGAATCTTACTACAATCGAGATCTTGGAATCTTTCAGGTATATAATAAAATCATACATTCATTTCATCCTATTACAAAATAGTAAAATACTTTCGTTGATTTTGTTATATGGAAATGCAATTTAGATTCAAAGCAATTTTCACTCCTATAATTGGGTAGTTTTTTCAAAGTATAATGTCGTAATACGGTTTTTTTTAAGTACAATGCTATAAATATAATCAGACACAACTGGTTCGAGTTTCAACAACTGCAGTATGAGAGTTCCAATTCCAATGTGGATTAGATTACCTGATTTACATCTGACATGATGCTAAGGGGTTTTAAAGAAGAATAACCCTTTTGTAGAAGCAGATGAAAGTACATTGTGATGTTTTGCATTTAGCGCAAAATTTATTTTTGTTTTTTTTTTTCTCGAAGGTGAGGATAGATTTTCTTTTTAAAAATGGTAACCGCCTAGCAAGCACAAGACAACCATGTATGCTCCAATTCAAAAGCCAACCGATCCGACTTATTTTAACGTTTTTAAACTTAGCACCTCTCATCACTGGCTACTCATCAGAATCACAAACCCTAAAAATAAAATTCAGAGGATACACAGAAGGAAACGACCCCACTTCTTGTTTAAGGGTAATATTGGAACAACGAGCCGAATTCACACGTGGTGCCGGTGTACCGGAAATCTATGAAGCCTCCTTGAAGCTTGAATCTCAACCGCCTTTTTTTAAACGGATTTTGTGGTATTGGAAAGGGACGATTTACGTGTGGGTTAGTATTGTGATGTTTGTTGTAGAGTTGTTGTTTATTCTTTTATGTTGTACGCCTGTTATTGCTCCGTGGACGAGGGGTGTTTCTGTAAATAATTATTCATCGCGAAACACCCGTGTAAGTCCGAAGTAGCTTGTGGACCTTATTTTTTATTTGGTGTCATAATCAAAGTTGTTTGTAAATTTTTATATTAGTAAACTAGTTGATATTCCGAAAGCCTATTTATAATTTTGGTTTGCAACCATTGTTGTATAGTTTTTGTCAACAAGTAAAGCATTTAACCTTGGAAGTTGAAACTGTTAGATGTAATATGTTGTTTCTCAAAACGAATTAACAAAAAGCATGGGTTTTTATTATTATTAAGAAGTAATTAAAATTTAAAAAGATACGAAAGTTTACATAGAGTTACATGTGTAAATTGTAATACTTTCGCGTTTCGCGTATAAACAAGTACCATGTTAACGATGTAATATTAAAAAATTGAAAAAGTGGTTGGATGAAATTATTATCAACATGAGAAATTAATACTGTGTAAAACCAAAACACAAAGGCCTATTAGCTCAGCTGGTTAGAGCGTCGTGCTAATAACGCGAAGGTCGCAGGTTCGAGACCTGCATGGGCCATTTTTTTATTAAAATTTTATTTTGTTGTTTCTTTCTAGTTCCTCATGTTTTGATTAAATTCTCTTTTGTCCTTCTACAATCTTATCTTCTGAACTTTTAGATATTTCTTTTTAGCCACTCATGTTCTGATTAAATCGGATTTGGTCCTTCGAGTTTCATAAGCATATAACCCCCTCAAATCTCAATCCTGCTTCTCTCCCAAAATGGCTCCTTCTTCTGCTCCTTTCAGGCATTCGCATCTGGTCCCTATTCTGATCATCTTCCTGCTACTTGGGACAACACCCTTATACGGCGTCGTTTTACATAAGAAGAAGAAGCAGATCCAAGAAGAGTGTGGAGAAATTGTGTCGAGATCTCTGTGTTCCAAAAACACCGATTGCCGATGGTGCCAGAGCGACGTCCTTGACGACACCTGCTTCTCTAAATCTGAATCTTCGCGTTTGCCTTCTCATATATTCGTTTGCTAATGCAATACTAATAATCATCTCTCTTCCTTAGATTCAGTATAATTACGTTTTTGTTTCGTGATTCGAAACAAATTGAGGGATCTGGAGATCTGATTGTCGAGATTTCTGTAATGTTCGTGTTTCGTTGTTCTGTAATTTACTGTGCTTTTCATCTCCAACAACTACCTTGATTTACGTGATTTCGCCGAACTATATTAATTAATCTCCGGTGAATATAACCACCGTTTTCTGATTTTAGGGCAACTGGCAATGATCAATGATGATTTTAGGGCAACTGGCAATGATCAATGATTGAACTAGAATCTACTTTTAGGGCAAGGCAGCATTTAAGTTTGATCTGAACTTCTTCATTGCAAACATCCATTGTAATGTTTCTGAAACATGCTCCCGGTGTATTTGTGAATCTTGTTTGAATTATAATCTATGTTGCACGATATTGGTTATGGGGTTTATAATATCTGTATATGTGTGTATACAAGTCTAAAATCAAACCAACTAAAGTAATAACTTCATGCTTTTTACTTCTAGATTGAGGATTAAATGTGTACTTCGTTTACTCTTTTTTCTAATTAATGTAACGAATTTGTTTTGATATGAAACCCAAAATAATGTTTTATTTCATGACTAAAATATGCAATATTTTAAGCAAACATGTTAATCAGTTGAAATTTAGTTGCTAAGAATGGTTGTACTGACAAAATAACAATTACAACCAATTTGCCAATAAAATTATTTGCCTACTTTTCAAACCGAATATATCGTATACCGAATTTGTTGTGTTGTGTCAATGGAATATGATGGAACATCTATATTGCATCCCGACCAACATAAAATTTTAAATAAAATTATTTTGATTCAACAATTTAGATATAGTTTGGATACCTAGGGAGAATGTTACTCTAGCACAATGGAGTTATGAGACTTGGTTCGATTTGACAATTTTTTTTTTTTTTTTTTTTGCACAATAGGTCATCTAATTTTTACTTTGCATGTCAATTAGGCCGTTATCGTTAGTTTTTAATCATTCCTCCGTTAACTAGTTATCTAAATGACATGAATGGTCCTTATGATTTAAAATTCTTTCGTAGTTGGTCCCTTATCAACTATGATTTAAATAACACGACCAAAATTCCTACATTTATGAAACTCTAGGGATCAAAGTGTAAATTTCTTATCTTCTTCCCCATTAAATCGCCTTCTGGATTGCCAGAATCAAATTCTATTTTCTTGATCGCCTTCTGGACCAAAGTGTAAATTTCATATGGTTCAATCCACTAACAAGCATTCTAGATAATATTTGTGAAATTTCTTTAACATCATCAATCAAAGCATAACACCCAATAATGGCAGTCCAGTGAACAACATTTCTCTCAGGCATATTATCGAACACTTTGTTGGCAACATCGGTGTACCTAAAGTTAGCGTTGCAGTTAATCAAGGAAGCATCAGAGGAGTACCCATCGTTAATGGAATGTTGGTGGAAAGAAAGGCCATGTGAGAATAGGTTTAGAGAAGCAGACCATGATTAGATACCTAGAGATGTTAAGCACGAATGTCGAAGCTGCCAACATTTTGACCAATGGCTCAATGATGTCGGTTCTTATGAAAATGCTTCGGCAATCAAAGGCCTCTACTGTGGGTGTTCAACTTGCTTCGGTTCTTGGCTTGCTAATATGTCATTCTACTATTACAGATGATGAATTGTCGAATTCTGGAATATTGTGTGCTTTGAATGAAGGTTTGGTAGATAGGCAAGAAAATGTTAAAAGATTCTCGATGGTTGCTTTGGGTGAACCAACTTAGATTTTATCAATAACCTCTACTACATATTCCGAGCTCCAGGAAAACAAGAAACCATCCGACTCACCGTCAGATCATCTTTGCTGCAATTAGTCTCTTTTAGCCTCCCACCAAAAACTCACCTTCAAAGAAATCGCGAGAGACATCTCAAAATGAGCCACCTTCAAAGAAATCGCAAGTCCTTGGCGACAATTTCTTCCCTAACATCGATCGTCACCTTCTCCCACTGGTGGGGGACAAGAATTTAGACTCAAATCTTATTTCGTTGATTGAACATGAAGGAGAGATTTTGAGATGAAAAACCCTAGTTTTTGTGACGTTGCTTTATAAGAACAGGAAGCGATGCTTAGGGCAGTTTTTGTTAAACGAAAAATTAGTGTGACTGTGGATACGCTGGTGGTGAAGGAGAAAGGAGCTCAATTGCAATGTTAGACTTTGATCCCCGACGTTTTAGAAATGTGGCAGTTTTGGTCGTTTAATTTTAACCATAGTTGAAAAAGGACGAACTACGAAAGAAATTTAAACCATAGGGGCCATTTATGTAAATTAGAAAAACTGGTTAACGGAGGAATGGTTAAAAACTAACGATAATGACTTAATTGACATGTACAGTAAAAATTAGATAACCTATTGGACAAAAAAATACATAAATTGTCAAATCGGACCAAACTCATAATTTCATTATGCTACAATGACATTTTACCTACCAACTAATCAAATATATTCCTAGTTATTTTTATCACTTTTTTTGTTAGAATATATAACCGATTCTATGAAAGTTTTGAAAGAAAATAAGTTATTTATCTTGGTATCAATCAAAGATTTCGTATAAAACCAAACAACCTTCACAAATTGCAAATGTCAGCTTGTTAACGAACCATATAAAATGTGAAAAAAATTTATTCAATAAATCCGTATAGAAGTGAAACATTGTTGCACAAACAATAATTTAATTAGAGTCATGTCAAGATCTAACAACCTTACTGTTAAAATGTCGCATATTTTTTATAAGCCGATAATGATTTTTTGATCATTCAAATGATTAAGGAGACAATATACATGAAATCCCTACTACATAACCAATTAATTGAGAGATTGAAATGTATCCTAAAATAACAAATGTTGAGATATATAAAATATTTGTATATACAACTTCTCTTACCCAATAGAAGTATGACTTCAAGATTATTTAGCTCACGAGCATAGGGAAATCATGATGCACACATGTAAATACAATAATCCATATTGGCCATCCGACACATTATCATTGATCCAATGCCAATCGAAGTTTAGTTTGTGCTTTTTAGTATTACCATCTCTCGATCGGATCTCCCATATGTGGTTCAACAGATTTCATTTTTATATATGATCCACATTTTATTAATTTGGTGTTATGAAGCACGTACTTTGGTATATTCGAGTCACTCTTGACCGCATATTGTAGCTTAATGCCTCCTTTATTACCTATAATGGAATATTTTGAAACCGACTATGTGATGCTTCTCTGTATCCGGTTACTATATGTTTTAGGGAAGTAATTGTAACACCCGTTCCAGGAATACTTGCTTTAAGATTGTATCATTGTTAGACCTTCAAAATGTGGAATCTTATAGTGAGCACGACGTGGTGGAGGAAGCACCACGACGTGGTCAAAGATGATATGAAATGCACAATTTTAATGCACCACGACGTGGCGACGCCTAGAGTGTAAAACCCTAATTTTCAGGATTAGAGCCCTATTTAAATGATGTGATGGCTAGGGTTTGCTCACCCTCAACCTACATCACCCTCTCAAGTCTAGAATCGAACCCTAGCCTATATTGTTGACATCTTGAAGCCTTTTGGTGGCGTTTTGTGGTATTGAATATGTAGAGGGAGCTACAAGTGCAAGGATTTAGTAAGGAAAGTTCTTCACCACCTTCATATGCATAGCTTTGGCCTTTATAAGTCCACAAGTTTATATCTTTTTTTTCAAGTCTTATAGATCTAAGTTTTGAGGCTTATTCTTCATGTTTGTGTTGATTTGAGTGGATGGATTCCATAAAGTTGGAAAATTTATGGATCCATGAGGTCTCTATGTGGCTATATGTTCCAGATCTAAATTCCTATAAAGTTTTGGTTCCATGTCATGGTTTTGATCTCTTTCTTCTTAGTTTAACCTAACTTGAATGTATAACATGCCTTGGATATGCATGCCCATAAAGCAAAGGTTTTTATGATGGTTATGGGTGCAGGGAAACCT